TATATATATATATATTGTTCTATAAGATGTAGTGCAATATTAATACTTAAGTTGTAGCAACAACAACAGTTACATGTGTTATCGTAAGATTTAACCGAATGTAGCTTATATATATATAAATCTTACTATAACACATGTAACTGTTGTTGTTGCTACAACTTATGTCACGACCCAAAATCCACTAAGCGTCGTGATGGCGCCGGACACCATTGTCAGGCAAGCCAACACTGAATAATTAGTAACTTCTCGTTTTAGATATTTCTGAATTCACTTCTTTTATACATTTAAACAATAAAGGATAAATTCTACTGAATAAATAATGATATCTTTAACAAATTCAAAATACTGAATAATCCCATAGACATCCCAGACACCGGTTTCACAAGTGCATGAGCAATTACTAAGGAATCGAATAAGGTACAATGACTATCCGGAATACAAATTGGACAGAAAGTAAATACAATACGCTGAAAGAGACTATACTGGCTGCAGGTCGCCTCGAGAAATACAGCTCACCTAGTCCCCATATCATCCATACTGTTATGCCCAGTAGGCCACTAGAAATACATGTGCCTATGCAACAAAAATTGCACAGCAAGTGTAGCATGAGTACAAAAACAACGTGTACTCAGTAAGTATCTCGTCTAATCTCGAAAAAGTAGAGACGAGAGGTCGACTTCGACACTTACTAGTGGTCCAATAATAATATACCAATAATATAGTAAATCGAGGGTTTTTATAAACATGATTGTAAAGCAATAGAATGAAGCAAGTAAATAATACTTTCTTTAATAGGAAATTTCCAAATTCATTTTCATCATTTATACATTTATTCTCAATCCGGGGAAGCAATATCCTCATTTGTAAATATCAAGGCAAGCAATACAAGCATGCGCAAATCATGTCGAGGACGTACGGCCCGATCCAACAATATTTAAATTGTGCACTGCCAGAGGGTCGAATGACGCAAACCATAAATGCATCTATTACCCCGCTCGCGAATCATACATGCGACGCGGTCAAACATAAATAAACAATAACCCCGCTCGCGAATCATACATGCGACGAAAGTACACATAGAAACACACATTCAAACAATCAATCAAAACTTCATCAGGGAGACAATTATGCAAGGAAGTGTCAATTTCTCTTTTACAAGTCGAGAAAACGAAGTTTAACTCTTTTAGAAAATCATTTACCACTTTGATGCAATTAAAGGAATTTAAACTGTCAATAAGGTTACAATTATTACAAGTAAAGCATGTTTTTGGGTCCTACACTACCTGGACTTAAGCATAATAGTAGCTACGCACGGACTCTCGTCACTTCATGCGTACGTAGCCCCCACACATAGAAGCACATATCCAATTAAATCACCTATGGGGACAATTCCCTCTTACAAGGTTAGAAAGGAACTCACCTCGCTCCGAAGTTCCAAAACCGGCTTCAAAGCCCTTTTGACGACTCAAATCGATGCACAACGCTCCAAAACTAGCCAATAAATGAGAAAATCCATAAATATATACTCTAATACTCACAACAATTCAATTTAGATAAATTCCTAACTCCGTTCGGAAAGTTGACAAAATTGCCCTCGCGCCCACGTGCCCGGATTTCAAAAAAACTCAGAAAATCTGACAACCCATTCCGATACGAGTTCAACCATACCAATTTTACCAAATTCCGATAGCAACTTGACCTCAAAATCTTGAATTTTCATTCTTGAAAAGTTTTGCAAAAATCTTGATTTCTTCCATTTAAATCCGAAATAAATGATGAATATAAACATAGAATAATGAAGTATAATTACTTTCGGATATAGAACACGTACTCCAATCCATATGGTGAAAATCGCTTCAATCCGAGCTCCATAGCTCCAAATATGTTAAAAATGGCCGAAACCTCGAAATATAGCTTCTGCCCAGGTATTTACTCTTCGCGATTGCGAAAAATGCTTCGCAATCGCGAAGCACAACCTTCCTCAGCCCAAAATTTGCCCTTCGCAATCGCGGAAAGTGCTTCGCGATCGCGAAGAACAAATGCCCAGCTCTTCCAGACAGTCTCTAGTATAATCGCCATAACTTTTTGTACAAAACTCCAAATTGCAAATGGTTTAACTTTAGAAAACTAGACTCCAAGGACTACAACTTTCATGCTTTGCTCATCTCCCAGTTCCTTAAATATTACAAGATATAAGCTTCCTAAGTCAGCCCTGTGCAACACAAATTTCTTCTTTGCAATTTCCAAACTCTTCCCGGATAGGCTGTAGTGTACCACTCATAACTTTTTGTACACAGCTCCAAATTCCAAATGGTATAATTTTCTGAAAACTAGACACAAAGAGCTACAACTATCATTTTTGGATCATCTCCAGATTCCTTATAGATTGCAAGATACAGGCTTCCAAAGTCGGGTCAGTGCAGCAGAAACTTTCCTCTACGCGATCGCGGATGTCCTTCCGCGATCGCGAAT